TCAATCATTGCAAAAATACGATTCTTTCTCGGAAACAAAAAAATGAAAATAAATCAAAGCGTTAATCTCACTTGATTCATTGTTTGTTCGATGAATAACTCAAATTCATTCAATTGTTGTTTAGTATTGAATTTTTCTGTTAATTCTTGAATAAAGAAAGTAAAATAATTATGCCCAAATTTTTTCAATAAATAGTCTCATTTTGAACGTACATATGACCAACAGTCATTAATACCTATTGAATTTCGACAAATTAGTCTTATCCTAGAAAGAATATCTTTTTGTCGAATAATAGTTAAGTTAGAATTAAAATGAATTTCGAGTAAATATCGAATCAATTGGATGTCTTGTGTACATGTAAGAGCTGATTGTAACCTTGAAATTTCTTGTGTATCATTTGTTATTTGATATTGATGAAATTGAAATTGAAATAGAGCTCAACTACCTAAACGTATGTTTGTACAATAGACAAGGGTGTGGATGTGGGTGGGTGTGTGGGTGTGGGTAGATGTGGGTATGGGTGTGGGTGTGTGGGGTGTGGGTGTGGGGTGTGGGTGTGGGGTGTGGGTGTGGGGTGTGGGTGTGGGGTGTAAGTTGAAGAGGAGACCAATATCCATACTCACATACGCATACCCACTCACACCCACACCCCACACCACCCACACACCCACACTCACACCCACACCCCCACACCCACACCCACACCCATCTGTTACTTAGGTAACAGATTCAAAACGAGATTTTATGTGATTGCATGAGATTAAAATCACATCCGCATAATTCAATTTTTGGTGCAAAAGTCACTTTCTATTAAAATGAACTGCCTTTAAAAATCATCATTTAAGGGGACCTCCCCTTTTCCGACTCAAAATTTTCACATTTTTCGTTTTTCATTTTTTGTGATCAGTATATAGATTTCAATGCCCTCTATCCGTTGAGCACACTTTGAGAGCTGAAAACCCACATCTTATATGTAAAAAAACTCGAAAAAAACCACAAAATATGCTGAAAAAACCAAAAATCACAAATTTCGTTGCATTTTTCTCGAAACCAGTTTTTTGGGTATCAAAAAACAGTTTTGCCCCCCTTTTCTCCGCCATTTCAAGTCCGATCGGGCTGAAAATTTTTTTGGTGAGACTTCAAGTGATTTGGGTTGGACATTTTTTTTTTCTGGATACCTTCTACCAATCTTGTTTGGCAGGCTTCGCAAAATTTTTAGGATCCAAAAAACCTAGAGATTTTGCGAAGTGCTCAGTATTTTGGTTCTCCAGCCTGAAGTATTTGGAATTTTTGAAAAAAGAAAAAAACGTCCACCCCGATTGGGTCCGTCTACCCACAGTAAAAATTTCAGCTCAAACGGAAGAAATCTGTGGAGTATCGGGGGACAAAACGTTTTGCAAATTTTTGACCTTGGGGTCTCTGGAAGTCCACGAAGACGACGTCTGGCAAATTTGTGTCTATGACAACTTTTGCTCTACTACTCGAGGTCTATCTACCCTGAAAGTTTCAGGAATTTTCGTTAAGTCGTTTCTTAGAAACGCCGGAAAGGGGGGGCCCTTAAGTGTATTGGTTAATAATAGCTCACATTACATAATGACAAGGCTTAAAATAAGTCTGATTGATGATGAAGTAAACAGAACTTGATCAGAACGAGACAAAATAGGTCAAGAGAAGACAAAAAATTGTAGAAAGATGGTAAAAAATTGATAAATTATTTACAGCGTCCATTTTTCGTTTTACTTCTGTGCTTCTTTTCTTTCTTTTTTATCGTATGTTCTCTTCTCGGTAACTGCTTCATCAGAAAGTAGATGTAGCCGTCTTTTCATTCTTATGGAATACATTTTGTCAACATACAGATATTATTTCAAATGCGTAGAAAAAAACATTTCGTGTGAGACTACCATATTTACCCTATTTCGAGACAAACTATCTCATTGAGTGTTTTTATGTGCAATATAGAATAAGCATCATTGTGATAGACAATTTTTTTCCTATTTGAATATGTTCGTGTTACGTTACATAGAAAGAACTGTATGCTATTGAAATTCGTTAAAATTCTTTTAGCCAGAAATGATTTTATATGACTAAAAAATATCATTAGTATTAACCAGTTATTGTTTACATTCATTTTTTGTTGATAAGTCAAATCTAAACTAAGCATGGATTTGAATAGTAATCAATTAGTAAAAATAAATAACGTAGGAAGCTTTTTGGATAAAGAATGATCCTTGTTTGTAACTTGTCATTATCCAATATCACATATTTTTTAAGTTAGATGATTGAAACAAAGTATTTTTGTAGATAAAATCTCTATTTACTACTTAGCATAAATCTTTTGTGAAACTCGTATTTAATTTCAAAGAAAATAATAGTGAGTTAATATCAGTGCTTAGATCATTCTGAAACTTTGTGAATTGTAGCCAGTTTCAATATTGTGGGTTTTAGTTTTTTAATACAACGGTAGCATCATAGATCTGGAAGAATCAGAATAGGATGGATATTAAAAACAATGAATAATTGAATTTTAAGTTAAGGCAAAAGTCAACAGTGTATGTTAAAGTTCATCAAGAGTAAGGATCGTGTGGACGATAGCTTATGAAACGATTAGATCAGTCTTTATAATAGGCTAATATGGTAGTTGAACCGACGAAACGAAGAGTAAAGTTATGTTTGCTGCTTCCTGCAGCATATGACAATTTTTCGACATGATAAAATTTCAGAGTGCGCGTATGAACTATAAAAATTGTTATAATTTTGATTTTTTCATTTATTTGACATTTTTCAGAGTAAACTATTTTAAAAACCTCTGCCCATATATCATAAATTTTTAACAGTCAGAGTTTGTGAGCTCCATACTTAATTATGGGAAAATACCTGTGAAACAATATTATTCGAAGCGTTTAGTTACCCAATTTTTTTTTATAAAAAATATATTTGTTTTTTTCAAATATGTTGGCATGGAATTTCGCTACTTGAGTTTTGATAAATTTGCCGAATTTCAACAACAAAAAGAATTGGCGAAATTTCGGTTTATCGATGAGCCATAGGGGAATGAGGCTGAAATATCAACGAAACTCCATAATTAACACCATTCGTATAATTTCTTCCCGAAATTCTGGGTATTGTTTTATTCTCAAATATCTGACGAAAATCTGATAAATTGAAAAAAATCTGGTTTGTTCATAGCTTTCAATTTTCTCTATAACTATCTCTCTTCATGAGATAATTAAATATATACTTGATATGCATAGTAATTATTTAGTGAAAAAGAGTTTTCAACCATCGGAGGTATATTTTAGTTCGAACGTTACGATTTGTAATTGAATAATAAAATAGTGAGAGTAACTAAAATATTTAACACTATAATTTATTATTTGGATCAATATTTGTAACGTTTCGTTCTTGTAAAGAACAGCATCAAATAGAATTTTAGCAAAAGAAAAAAACTAATTTTTTTTAGGACAAATCCAAAGAAACAACAAGATAAAACGAATAGAACGAAAGACGTTACCCATATTAATAAAACATTTAATAAAATGATAAATAGCTTAGTTAATACACTTTTCAAATTTCACACATAAGGATATCCCGCTTGTCGAGGGTGCCACAATAGTACATACTCAAGCTGTCGCTTTTCGGAATTCGCAGAGAAGTAGAATACTTGAAGAGTACTACAATAATCCAATTCAATTTTCAAGTATGACATGCATGAGAAGAAAATAAGAAAATGTTGATTATTAATATTCAGTAGAAGGACAAAAATAGAATTGAGACGTTCTTAGACGACTGTGATTTGATTTATTATCTATATCATTAGCTAGAACTCAAACTGTTTCTCTCGTAAGACATGAATTATTTTGAGTCAAATCAAATTTTTTTCCGATTTTAGTATTTTTATTCTTGTATCATCAAGACATGCTCTGATCGGTTGATACTTATAGCATAGACAGCATAATTACTAACGTAAATTTCGATGAAAACCACAGCCTGATACCTTGAACTGAAGAAGAGATATTGGAATTTGAGCGTCATCGGATATATACTTATAGAGTGTTTGTTTCTGTCTTAACTAATTTTATAGTTGAATTTGCGTTAATTTAAATTCAAGGTGGATTGAAATATAATGTTTGTCATTATGAAATTCACTAAGCTTTGAGGGTAGGTCGATTTTTGATCAGGATAATTTTTAATCAACATTGATTACGGTTTAATTTATAAATTCAACAAATGAGTATGAAATATCATAATAAACTTAACGGTATCTCAGAAAGAATGCGCCGATCAACGAGTAAATCACTTTTCTTAACTTTTCAGCGGTTGATGCAAATTCCGTTTTTTTTTGAAATTTCCAGCAATAGAGTTTAATAACTACGTAGTCTGAATAAAGCGCCATCACTCGGCAGATAAATAAGCAAACATGCAGAAGCGAAGCGACCGTCCAATCACCGCGCGGTGATCTAAAAATGACTCATGATTGTGGTTTGTTTGAATACTTTACATAAGACGTGACCACTTTCACTGGAGTGGTGCACATCTCTGATATTTATATGATATTGATGAAAGTTGTAAACTCGTATGTCTACTAGCTGTCGAAACATCAATCTATAAATTAGGTACACAATCGAACTCCAATACCGATTTATTCATTGAAAAATCAAAATTTATCAAAAATATTCCAATATATATCGTACGAGCATGAATCACAAATTCTACAAAAGGAATTAGATTTATCTCAAGCAATACCTGATATTTTCAAGTAGTTTCAAAAAGGATAAAATATCCCATTAAAGAGTTCAAAATATTTATTTCTAATAAAACATCGACAAATAATAATTGATCTCTTTAGTAAAACAAATGATGAAACAAAATAAAAGAAAAATATTTTCACATCTAGGTTTGTTAAAAATGCAATGATGGATATGATAGTGTTCTTTTTATCGAGCTTAGAAAGAAATTATGCATGTTTTAATTTTAGATATATTTATAAAATAATAAGAAAAATGACATCAAAAAATCTGGTTGCAGTAGTTGTTGGTAACGAAGAATTCAAGAATTAACTTTTTTTCTTCGTTTAATCTTGATTGTAATTTATAGGTGTTGGTCCAGGTTTAGGAACATCTTTAGCCAAACGGTGTGATGTTATCTATAATATTTGATTACTATTAAAGTGTATTATTACTTTTTTTTTTAAGATTTGCAGCTGGAGGTTATTCAATTGGTCTTATAGCACGAAAAGAAAGTAGTTTACAACCTGTACAAAGAGAACTTGAACAACATGGTCATACAGGTGATTAACTGTTATTTTTATCGTATATAAATTGGCATCAACATACATATTTTCTGTTATAGCTTTGAGTGTAACAGCTGATGCTAGCGATGTATCATCAGTAAAAAATGCTATTGGTACTATTCGAAAAAAATTTAGTAATGATCCTGAAGTATTATTGTACAACGCTGGTATATTTGTGTATAGTAAATTGAATATTTGACTTTATTTTTCTTCAGTTTTCTTTTCTAATCAATCATAATTTATTTTATATTAAGAAAATATTTTGAGTTTGAAACCTGAGAAACTTCAAACAGTACTAAATGCAAGTGTTATTGGTGGTTTAATCGCTAGTCAAGAAGTAAATATAAATGAGAAACAATTAATTTTTTGATTGAAATTTAGTAGGTTCTTCCATCTATGATAAAAAATGGAAAAGGAACAATATTGTTTACTGGTGCTACTGCTAGCCTTCGTGGTTCAGTCGGATTTTCTGGTATGGCTGCATCAAAATTTGCTCTACGCGCCTTAGCTCAATCCATGGCTCGTGAATTTGGCCCACAAGGTATTCATGTTGCTCATATAATTATTGACGGACAAATTAACACACCAAGTCAAGTTCAACGTAAGATGTTTTTTTCTTACTTCTAAGAAAGAAAAACAATTGATGACGTGCTTAGGTCAACCTGACAAAGATATTAATTCATTTCTTAATAGTGATGCGGTATGAACTATTCAACATCTCAATTTTGTTTTCTTCTTTGAATGGATAGTTTATCTATTGTAGATTGCTGAGACATATTGGCAATTACATGTACAACCTCGTACAGCATGGACACATGAACTTGATATTCGTCCTTCAGTAGAAAAATTTTAAAATAGAACTTTTGTTTTCTAAACATTTTTTTACAGTTTTGGATTATCTGTAAAAAAAAATCTTTCTTTACTCAAGCAAGTTCTACTTTTTCTTATATGCAATCAAGAGAGAAATCACGAGAGACTCTATAAAAGATTTTTTTTCTGTTATTTTTTGTGCACTCAATAGTCTTTCTTTGGAAAGTTATTCAATACTGATTTTTGTTTATTACTATCATATCCTTTTGTAAAAAAAAATACTATGTAAAAGTTATGCTTGTTTTTGTTTCAACGAAGTCTTCAGATTTCTTTTTAAAATTATACTTGGATGTGGATATATGTATGAGAGTCTATCCTTCAGACACATTCACCGTGCTTCACTCCCCATATTTACACCCACTCTATAATTTTTAAATTTTCATGAAAAACTTGACTGGAGTGGAGCATTTACTCGAGAGAAGATTTCAAGTTAAATGGTCAAAATTAGCTGGATTACAGATCATATTGTGACAGTTTTCATCAATTCTAGTCTCAGGAGTAGCCAAAAATAACTTCATAAATCAGACAACCGTTTGACACGAAACTTTCACTGATGATAGAGAGGGTTTGGATGTGAGTACAAGAGAATAAGACCTACACCCACACCCCAAAACTATGTTATTTTATTGTTTAAAAATAATCATAAAAGAAAAGAAAAAACCAATGTAAACTTAGAGTAACTCATATTCTCTTACTATTATCACGTGTTTTTACTTATTAACAAGTTTAATGTGACAAAATAACAAACCGGTTTTTTTCCATGATAAGTTTAAGCTTTTCAAAAAAAAAAAAGAAACGAGAATGTGTTCAGACTATACTTACTGATGAAAAAAATCTTTCCGTTATTTACAATCATTAGATAACTTGTTTCTTCGTCGAAAATATTTTAAATATAATCAATATGAATACAAGTAAAAATATGTCATACAGATTTGTTCAATAAGTTTTCGATAATTTTCATCGACAATAAAATATTTTTATCAGTAATAAAAGAGAGATTTTGTTAGCAGAAAAATAAGTAAAGAAAAACAAAATAAATAAGGAGCTCAAAAGAGCAGAAAATGAAAATTGAATTATCGTACTAACAAAGCAGATTTAAACATTGTTGATCTATCTCTTTTTCTTTTTCGTCGATCGGCATTGTCTTTTATGTTGGAAGTTTGCAATATTTCAAACAAATACTTATTTCAATAATACTTTTTGTATATACATAGTTCTCAAAAATAAAAAGGTGGCCAGTTGCATTGTGATGTTTCCCAAGATGAATCATTCTCGGTTTCCATACAACAATATATGAATTGATTATTATTTATTTATTTGATTCAATTTCAAGTGAAAGATTCAACAAGTCGTCCAGCATTTGTTCTACCAACAAAATAAATTTGCTGTTTTTTATTGTTATTAACGAACTCTAATAATTGGCATTTCATCTAGAGTTATTGGACGATTCTCAGATTCACTTACTTCGATTTTCTCAGATAAATAAGAACGTATTGTTGAATAAAATAAATCAATTAATTTAGTAAGATAAGGTGATTGAACAATTCCACGATAACCACAGAAACCAATTTTGTTCTTTTTCTGTTATTTTAAATCGATTTTTTATTGAATGAAAATTCGGAAGTGTTGTCCAACATCCCAAGAATACCTTGAGTAGCTAATAACACACTATCTAACAATAGAAAGTCAAATCGATCAAAACTTGAAGCAAATGTTATTTTTGAAGATGATATAATATCAATTGATCGATTTTGAGTTAACTATTTCAATTTAATATTTTGTTTTGTTTCTAAAAATTGAATAATATTTGTACAATGTTGTTGATGATTACTAGTACAGCCAGATACTTTAAGTGTTCAAGAACTTGTGAATGTGTTAATTTTAGAAGATTATCTTCAGTTTTATGATATCGTATTTTTTTGAAATGATGAACATACTCGAATAATTTGACGATTTTTAACTGTATTTCCAGTGATTTGTGGATACAATCGAAATATCTTCCCATAATGGAATTCCACGTTTATGTATATTTGATATAAACTCATTAAATAAATTAACAAATAATTTTGGATAATCAATAAGTTTACTAAATATATCAATCCATAGTTTTTCTCGATCATTAAATTGATCAGATACAATTCTCCATGATTTGGAGGATATTTTCTTAAACTATCTATTTTATAATCAAAGACATTTAATAAGAATCTCTAAAGTTTCTTGTGCAAATACACAAAATTCAGTAACAGATACAATTCTTGATCCGTTTGATATTAATTGAAAAAATTCTTTTGATAATTTCTCTTTGTCATTTGTAACTTTATTTGCAACAATAGTAACAATAACATGTGTAGCATTTGAAATGACTTGTTCGGTTGTCATTAAAACATTAATATCAGATGAAGTAATACTTTTTCTTCTTCGAATTTTTTCTCGAGTGCATTCATCCAGATTTGTTGATGACGGACTACATATATTAACTTTATGTTTAGCTGTTTTTAAATGAGCAACAATTCTACTGCCAATAGCCCTGATCCAGCATCCCCATTATTTGGTAAATGAAGTTGTTAAATCATATATTCAGCAACAAATCGAGAATTAACACTTAATGTATTGAATAGATTTATATTGAATTGTTTAGCTTTATTAAGATCAATACGAGAAAGTGATTAATCTCTTTGAAGTAATATTAATTCAATAATCAATTATGAAACGTCATAATACAAGTGTTTCACTTCCAATAAAATTATTTCCAAGAATAATTTTAGTAAATAAATTAATTGATGTTGATTACGAATCTCACTTTTAAATGGATATACAATTCATACTTTCATTTACATTTTTTAATCTAGGGAAAAACAAAACAAATATTTATAGCAAGAGATAGAGGTTCAAAAAAAAATCAATATATCGCTATTGAGAACAAAGATAGCAAAAATCTTATTTTTTTTTCGAACCGGACGAAAAACTGAGAGAAATAAGTTTAATTAAATCAATGTCCTGTAAAATACAATAATATAGACAAAAACTTTGAAACCAACCATAGAAATTGAAAGAAATGTATTTCTACATAAACTCGAACACATGTAACTTTTCAAATCACAAAGCCAATGATAATATATTAAATACCAAGACAACAAAAAATATATGATTAACTATGTGAACTCTATAGAAAACTACACTTTCAATCTTAATTGCATTCCAACTCACCTGCTACAAATACAAACTTAATTTTTAGGATAAGAAACCAATGATGTTTCTTTTTCTCTAAGAATGAATTGAATATATATTTTTGTCAAGAGAAATTTTAACTTGAAAAATACGTTGTTCTTCAATTGAAAATAATTAATGAAATTGTTTGATTGAATTTATAGAAAAATATCAGGAATACTCTATTCTAATGGATCTCTTCATTAGATTTTAAGAAACTTTTTTTATTTTTATGGATATTCATCAATTGATTGATTTCCCTAAATAATCAAAGATAGATTGATTTTTCTTAATTTTTATTGATGAAATAAATAAATTATTTCAATTTACAATAGTGCAGATATCGAAGAAACAAGAGTAAGAAAAATTATTGAAATATATAAGAATTATTTTGTAAAGATACCTTCAGACACTGAAGGAGTATGTTCTCATTTCAAATGAATATATGAAGAATAGATGAGTTGATAAAATTACTAATTGAGATTAAAAAAATATGTTATTGATATTTTAACTATCAATGAGGATTAAATATCTTTATTCAATTTTCAAGAATATCTATTGATAATCTACATGAAAAATAAACCTAGCTACTAACTTTATTTTTGCCTATCTACATTTCTTAATCACTTCGCAAGTTTTTATTCCGTTTATTCAAATAGAATTTTCTTTTAATCTTTCATCTATGTAATTTGAACTTTTATTAAATAGACATTAATTGCTGGAACATGAAATGTCGATGAATGAATATAACGTTTACAAAATTGGATTGAAATGAGAAATTCTCGTAAGAAAATTTCAATATTCATATTAATTATATGTTTGAATTCTAAATTGTGTATAGAAATAAAAATTCAACATTTGTCATATTGTCGATTTCTTCAATATAAACTGATTTGAATTTGGCAATTATATATCTTTTAACCAAGAATATAAATTTCTCTCATTAATTCTCTAATGTTTCGATCTAATTGGAATAAATGAATTTTTAATGTTAATAAATCAGGTAAGAAACTTCTATAATGAATAAAACATGACGTAAGTCATTTTTCATCGAAATTAAAGAAATTGATGATGAATATTCAATATTTCATGTTCTAGAATATCATAGCATATTTTTCTAAAAGAAAAGTTATTAATTGTTTGTTTTAAAAAAAGTTTTTTTTTTATAGATGTACCTATATGGATAGATAATATAATTGATATTTTACTATCAATAATTATTTTAAATAACCATTTTCATTGAATCCAAAATAAGGAAGAAAATTGATTAGAATTCTTTGTTTTCATCGATGAGCAGTAAGAAATTTCATATTATTTCAACAATAAATAGGTAAGATTTTAAAATTTGAACATAATTTAGTTGAAGATATTTCATTATTTGTAAGCATAATTTTTTTGAAGATTAAATCAATAAAAGTGAATTTTAATTAATATTGATGATGAATTAAGTAATTGTTCAAATCGATAATTAAGGTTAGAAAATGTTTGAGCTATTTCATAACCATTGAAATATTCAGATTATTCTATTGACAATTAAAATATCAGTAACATCTTACTGTGGGTGTGGGTGTGGGGTGTGGGTGTCGCTATAGATGAAAACAAGACACACATCACACCCACACCCTCACTCACCCACACCCTCACTCACCCACACCCACACCCACACACACCTCACCCACACACCCACACCCACACTCACACCCACCCACACCTACACACCCACACCCAC